TAAGTTTGGTTGGTTTAAAATGAGATAGAGAAATTAATTTTAATTGTACATTTTAAAAGAGAGTGATATGCTTAATTTGAATGGAACTTGTAAATTTTTTTTCTTAGTTAAACGTATTTGTTTTAATTTCAAATATTATTGTGTGACTAATGAGTTAAACTTTTAGGCCCAACTCTGTTTAGCATTTTTTAGTTGGTTAGGATTTTTTAGGGGCTTAGTTTTATGGCCAGAATTTTTTATTTTGATCATAATTTAATACTAATGAAATTTGTGGGCCTTCCTTCATGGGTGGGGCCTAAAGCCCCTGCTTCAATTCCTATATTGTTGGGCCGGATCTGTTTTCCACAATATTTACCTTTATTTTTAGTGTTGGTTTTATAGTGTTTTCTTAACAATTATTACACTTCTCATATTTTACCTCCAACTACAAATTTTTGTTCGCATTGTCCGAGTTATAGTCATTGAAAACGTATATCTTACACAAGCACATGTTTTCTGTCCAAAAGGTGCTAAGTTTTTGCAAAACATACCTTAATGCACTAATTAAATTTTTAAAAAGTAGTTGTGAAGTACTTACCAAAGGTAGTAAAAAAAATCAAAGGTTGGATAGTTACCAAATTCACCAGGCTTGGCCCTCAGATTGATTAACATCAATTGGGAGACCTGGCATGACAAGTACCATCAGTCCTGCAACGTGAACATGCTTTCTTTGTCTTTAGCATTTAGAAAGTTATCCAAGCTCTTCTCCAAATTGAGATACATAAGCAGTCATTCATTACTTAATCTAAAACACGTATGAGAGTTCTTATCTAACAACTTTTCTAACACCTTAGAGAGCCAGCGAATTGCATAAAACATAGTGCACAAAATAGTGAAACTTTTCCCCGTAATTGAAGGTATTCGGTCCAACTGAACATCTCAAGTATACTAAACGAATTGGGTTTTGTTTTTTTTACATCAAGCTTAGGAACAATTGCACCGTTGATCATTTCTCTTTCATGACTTTTGAAGCTTTTATCTACCAGAATGCCAAATATAAATTGAAGTCATTGGTCCATCATTGTCACGAGGCCATTTCTAGTTTAATTTTGGGTACTTTAGATCAATTCAAGGCCACTATGGCCTTACAACCCCAGACCAACCTTTTGGTGTTAATATTTTTCATAAAAGACTTGCTTCAATTATATTACAAACTTTTTCGTAAAATATTGCAAACTTTTTTTTTTATTTTACGAACTTGTAGTCTCCCATTCCATAGGGGTTTTGGTTCGGCAAACGTATCAACTTCCATTTGTCTGCATCGAGGACTTCAAGAAATCAAAGATTTCAAATTACTTGATAGTTGTCGTAATCTAACACTCAATATGATATAAAATAAGAATATAACATAAGGATGCTGTAATTTATAATTGTTAAGCATATTTCTATAAAACACCTTTAGAACATTACCAGCAATGCGCTCTTCACTAAAAGGGGTTTTGGTTCAGCAATCAAGACATATTCTTCGACTCTACACTGGGATTGTAACTCCTTTAAAAAAAAGAAAAAAAAAAAAAAAGAAGACTGGAGTAACTCCTAAAAAGGTAAGAGTTTTTAAGTCCTAAAAAAATTGTGGAAATATTACTGCATTGTCCCTAATAATGAGTCCAAAAGATTCAAGGACCATCTATTTTTACAGGGCAAAAAGAACTCTAGTATGTAAACAACATATTTCCAGGGTAAGAACACCATATGGAAATTAAAAAAGGGCTAGTTAACCCAACGCCATGTGCATGATGTGCTCAGCTTAGTTATATCGCTGTAAAAGCATGCGGAATTCAAATAAGATTGCGGTTGTCAACATGATGTGCCCAAAATAGCAGCCTCCATTAAAAGAAGTGTAGTTCTTTCTCCCTATCCCAAACCCAACAATGTCTGAGCAAAAAGTAATTGGATTGCATCACACACCTTGTCTAACATCTGGTTTAAAATTAAGATAATATTATTTGCAGTGTATGAAGGTATATTTGAAAACACAAATATTTGACATCTACTTGCAACTTACATCCATGTGAACACTGCAGTATATGTTTGGATGCATCAGACTTGAGATCTACGGGAACTGAGAATAAGGAATCTTGAATTCTCAAATCATGGAAGATAAAGGTTGGAAGCATTTAGGGAAGTTCTAATTCAATTTTGGTCCAATTGTGTCCTTACAGCTTTAGACCAACCTTTTGGTGTTGATATTTTTTATAAAAAACTTGTTTAAACCCGTTGAGCCCTTAAAACTCTTACGAACCATTGGGAACTAAAGACAATGTCAAATGTTTTCTCATGGGCTTAAAACTCACAAGTCCAGTTCTAATTCAATTTTGGGTACCTAGATCAATTGGAGGCCACTGTGTCCTTACAACTTCAGACCAACCTTTTGGTGTTAATATTTTTCATAAAAGACTTACTTCCAACCTTTTGGTGTTAATATTTTTCATAAAAGACTTACTTCAAATATACGTTGCAGTCTTCACGTGGATATAAGTTTCAAGTAGATTGTCAAATCTATTTTTGTTTTTCAAATATTTCTTTAGAGACTCTTACAACGAATTGGAGTGCCTAAACATATATTGATACTGCAAATAACATCCTCATACTTTTGAACCAGTGGTATGAAGGTAAAGAAGATTGATTCAATGAAAATCTATAAAGCACAAAGAGGTTTAATACTCATTATAAGAATTAGGATTTTTTAAGATAAATTTTTTTGTGGTGACAATACCTATCGTCCCAAAAAAAAAGTGTTTTGAAGAAGAAAAAAAATTAAGTAAAAACTCTGACACAGGTGAAAAAAGCCTCGAATTTAAACTAAAACTTGGTTGCTTGTCTGTGGGTTCTTGCAAATGAGAAAACTCCCACCTATTTATAGGCCTTTCATCTTACCAGGAATGACTACAATATTGTCAAATATTAAACATTTACGATGTCACTAGAATCTTCTATGTAAATATCCCTTTATATTCTAGAATGTTCCTTAAAGAGTGTTTAATTTAGAAACCCTTTTTGGGATTCTCTAGAATATTTTTTCAAGGGGTCTTAAAATAAAGAACTATCCTAAGGTTGTTTTGAATTTTCAAGAAAATGGAACGTTACAAAAATCTCACTTAACGTAATGTATTGTGTATTGAGATAACTCATTTTTTTCAATATTTATTTAAAAATATAGGTAAGACCAAAAAAATAAAGGTAGTAAAAAGCATTCATTCAGTTGTGTTGTATCCAAATTGACTCAATTTATACTTATTTCATTTATAATCTTGTATAGTCGAATTTGTACTATATATAAGTCATGTTTAACAGATTTATTTTGTATTTAGTCGGATTTATGTTAACTCGTTTATTCGAGAGATCTATCAAGGTCATTTGTTTATCATCCATATCTATTAAACCTAAATCCAAACTCATTATTTTGGTATTGATTTCTTATTGAGTTTATACTTCATACCTAAAATTGTCTTAAAATTAAAGGCCCTATTTTTTTTTAAGTGATGCTAAATTTTTTTTTGGGCCCCACATATATGTCATTATAAAAATTAGGGTCTTTTGAGACAAGTTTTTTGTGATGGTAGCGTTCATCGTCACAAAAATGTATATTTTGAAAAAATATACATACATATATTTTTTGTGGCAATAGAAGTGTCATAAAATGTTTATTTGCCGCCGTAAATACTATTTGAGACGGGTTGTTATTGTCACAAAGACTTTCTGAAACTCCACTTATTACGCTAAGATTTTGTTGAAACATGATAATTTTGAGACAATATAAATAATTCGAATAATTGAGAGACTACTAATTAAGCGGATAAAAATAAATTTAGGCCAATGCAATATCAGTATCAGTATCTGGTCTAGCAGCACAACTCGTTGCTACGGCCTTGGAATAAGACGAGAATTCTACTTTGGCTTTGAAATTGCAACTGTGGTTAATTATATTTTGTCCCCTAAATGATGGTCGGCATCTCACTTTGCCCACGAGTTATTCAACTTCATATATTGTTCTCTCAGTTACTTGAATCGATTTCACGTCACCCAAAATGCAAATGTCTATTATCTTTTAGTCGAAAAAATTTCAACTTATTCGAGAAAAAGTGAAGTAAGATCACATAGTTCAAAATACCAAATGAAATTATTTTTCATCAAATTTCTAATGGACATATTAATCATTGGGGGCAATGTGAAAGTATAACCAATATGATAATTGAGAAGGCAAAGTGACACTTGCTTCATAGTTTGAGGACACAAAGTATAATTAACCCTCACAGCTACCTTTCTATCCAAACAGTTTATTTTGAAAAGCTGTTGTTACCCCCGATCAGGAGAAAAAACAATTGTCACAATTATGTAAGTTAAAACAGATCAACAAAACAAACTACATTGTTTCTTGTTTTTCATTTGTTTGTCAACAATATTCTTTATAACTACACCATAATGGTGATCTGGGTCTGCTATTTACTCATCTGATATCATTATTTCTAGTGACTTTGTCTCACTACTCCATTCGGGTCTTGTCGAGACCCAAACTATCTATTAATGGGCTAGGCCTAGGCAATGGTTGTCGATGGATGAATTTTTTCTTGAACATATCAATAGCAGATTTTGGTAATGAGGAAGCCAATGCAAACTTGCCAATTTGCAATTTTTTTTTTTGTCATAGAGAATCCAAATTTGCATCGACTATCCTTTCAAGCTCTGAGCCGACTGACTACCGTAACTCATCAATTAGCATGCCATGGTCCAAGCCTAGTTTTACAACAGATCATTTGGTGATAAATGATACCATAGAATAACTTGGGTGCCTGTAAGTATTGAACCTAAAAGGTTCAAAGTCTTGTTCTATTATTCATCATCAAACATATCAATAATATCTTACTTATCTAGGGGATTTCTGTGATACAATGTTATTTTGTTCATCAGGAGCAAGTATCATATCTAATTAACATTGAAATAGTAAACTCACATCATTTTCACTACAAAACAATAAATAGTTGTGTCCCTTTCATGTTGCTTGACTCCATTAGGTGGAAATCCTCCATGCATTTCTGAGATATGCATTCAAATAGTTCATCGACAATGTCACGTCCAAAGTGTTTCGCAATAACTCCTTCCATGGCAGCTCTTACGTGCATTATCACAACCTGGGCATTGATTGGGGTAACCTTCAACCTAGGGTCTGTCAACCCCATTTTCTCAATGCTAAAACTCCCATTACTTTCTATTAGCCTAGTCATCTCTTTGGCGGAAGCAGAATAAATAGGCAAGTTGAACATGTCGACTTGAGGTTCACCGATAATTCCCTGTAGTGAAATTTGTCAATACAACACATGTTTATGGATAATGAGAATAATCAAAGAAGTAATGCAGGATGCAAATCTGTCAACTACCTTCCTTGTTGAAATACAATAGCTTAAGATTTTAACGTAGATGGTTGTTTAATATGGCATCAGAGTAAGAGGTCTTGTGTTCGAATTACACCGCCACCCTAATTATTAAAAGATTTTCACGTACTAGGCCTAAACTCTAGCCTGCATGTGAAGGGGTGTGTTAAAATATAAATACGTAATTTACACTATCTCCAATATCTTAAACTTTTAGAGTAGGTAGTTGTTTAGAATGTTGGTATTTTTCTTTTAGAATAGTATCGAATTAATTCCTCCTGTACTTTCAAATTATTTGTTGGTACCAACGCCAAAATATGGAGAGACGACGAGAGAAATAACCAGTCATAGAAAGACCCTGGGAACTCCAACGCCAAAATATAGTCTATCAACAGGGAGGAGGCGAAGAGGGTATTGAAATCATTGGAAATATGATCATTGAAAAACACTTGAAATTCAAGTTTTTCGGAAGGAAGACTTTGAGCATAGTATTTCTTTTCCATAGCTGCCATTACATTTTGCATGGCAATAAAAGTATTTGGTCCAACTGAACATCCCAAGTCTGCAAGATGAATTGATCTTGAGCAGAAGTCAAGTGTTTTACATCAAACTTCTCAGCAATTGTCATGTCGATCACTTCTTTTACAGTGTTTGAAGCTTCTCTCTGCAATAAATCAATATATATATATATATATATCATTGCTATCATCATTGGCATTATATTCATGAAGTATTTTCCTTTTAAACGTCTTGTGAAAAAGTAAGGTGAAAAGTGTTGAATAAGGACAAATTCGATGAACAAAAAAATTAAAAAAAAAAACTGAAAACAAGATTCTACCATCAAAAAATAATAAGCTCCACCCGCAATGTAGTATAAATATGTTACGATGCCAGTTTTTTTTTTTTAAAGGATACCATAGTCAAGTCCATTTTAACGGATGCACATTTACACCACTACCATTTAAAAAAATTCAAGATATATGTACACTATTTAAGGGGAGAAAGTAGAAAATTTAAATGGTGGTGGAAGAAAATTTTCTTATCTAAATCCACCCTAGTTGAAAGTAAAGTCAAGTAATAATCATATCACATAACATAAAATAGACATTCACCAGTTTGCTTAAACTATGCCAAAAAAACCACATAATGCAACAGAGCAAAAATCGATAGTAGGAAACATATATAAAGTTTTGAGTAGTCATGTCAATTATGGTTTAGAGTTTAAAACGAATTTAAACATAAATTTGATTAATATAGTATAGTATGAATCTTTTTACAAATTTTTTAAATGTACATCCGAACACTTTGTAATTCATATCAAGACTTTGATTTTGGATATACTAGTATTTAATCTAATTGTGAAATGATATATATGAACTATATATAAACATAAATATATAAGGAGGTTGAGTACTTAGTTCATGAAATTTATTAGAAAATAATGTAAAAATGTGGGCAAAAATCAACTCCAATTGAGCTATCTTGATCGGATCAAAATGTATGACTTTTTGACAAATTATTATATGGACGGCGAAAATAAAAATCGTTAGATATTTCAATCTACTTTTTCAAATCATATTCTCATACGAAGCTCCAATTTGAATTTGGTTCATTGATAAGCGTAGGTTCTGGCATTAGTTTAGTTTTAGATGTAGGATGACCCAAGAAAACAAAAATAAGAAAACTTAGGCTATGTTTGGTTATCATCTGCAAAACAGTTTTTTTTTTCTCAAAATTTTTAAAACACCCAAAATTTTTGTTCTCAAAATTTTCGAAAAAAATGAGATTTGAAACACAAAAACAGAAAACAAGTTAGGCTCATTTCCGGACAATTTCCTTGAAAATTTTGAAAACACGGAGAAGTTACTGCTCATTTTTAATGAAGTCACGCCTTCGACCTTCCTTAGTAGCTATTGTTTTTCCCCTTCTTTTTTTTCTTTCTCAAGCCTTCCTCTCTCTCTCTCACTCCACTTCGGGAAACCAGAGAAACACAAGGTGACAGGCTGGTGGTGGTTATGGCGATCTCAAGCATTTCTCTTTCTCTCTCTTTCCAGTGATCTCAAGGATTCTCTCTGTGTGTGTGTGTGTGTGTGCCTGTGTATATATATATCAGGTTCAATTGACGATTGGTTATATATATAAATCAGATCATATCAAATTTTGGGGGTGGTGGTTGTGGGTGTTGGGTGGTTCTCGGTGTGGGTTGGTGGTGGTTGTGTGTTGTGGGTTGATGGTGGTTGTGGTTGTGGTTATGGGTGTTGGGTTGATGATGGTTCTCGATCATATATTTTGGTTGCTTCTCAGGAATTTACACAACGATTCTGCCTCTTTCACCCACCACAACCACATAATCTCAATTATTCCCCGCAGGGCCAAATCACAAATCACTTTAGGAAAGACATATACCGTCTCTCACGGCATTGACGAATCCTTCCTAGGAAAGGTATATCATCGAACTTACGTGAATAATAGTAGTTGCTTCCACAAACAACAATCCACTACAAGTATTAGACAACCATCTCACCTCCACTGGAATAGATTAACCTCTAACACTCCACGGTAGCAGCTCTCGAAGGCAATTCAAGTCCATCACAACAAACCGTACAAGAGATAAAACCACAATATTCCCAACAACCATAATCTTAACCAATCAAAATTTTCATTAACAATTCAAAGATCACAAGTGCACAATTCTCAATATACTATAGTACTAAAGGAATTAAAATATGCGAGAAATCATCTCAAGAAAATATTCAAAATTCTAATATCAAAATTCTAGGGTTTAGCCAAAAATCATAATTTCTTAGAACAAGAATAAATATTAGATAAAAACATGATTTAATCAAGAATAGGAATTTAGAAATCAAGAATCCATATGAATTTCACAATAGAACATATATTTTAGAAAAAAACTAGAGTTTTAAAAATTCAAGAACATTTATTCCTTGAACCCAAACCTGTATTTTGTTCAAGACTATGTTCCAATGATAAAAAAACCAAGAACTCATATATATCTATCATATAATTATCAAAAAGATTGAAATCATACATAATTATATCCTAAGTCTCAATGAAAGAACTTGAGAAGAATCCCCTACCTCAATTTCGTAGTTTGTGTGTAAACTTAGCGTGTTTGATCCGGTTCAATGTGAGAATTCTTTGGAGTCTTGTATTTCTCATTCTCTCTCGCTCTCTAGGGTTTCCTAGGGTTGTAAACTGATGAAAAATAGCTAAAGAAACGCCCTTGTGGTATTTATAGGGTGAAAAACGGAGAAAAACACTAAAACTGGTCGGGGCCATTTTTAGGGTAGCGTCTAAACGGTCCTTGGTTATCCAGACGGTTCAAACTCACTGTTTTTGATGAAAAATAAAGTTTTTCGGATAAGAAGTACCATTCAGACGGTGCTTGGAGCGTCCGGACGGAGGCAACTTTCGGTCCCAACTTCAGGATCAATTTTCACCTATTTAGAAGTTAATTCAAGAAATGTTCGTTAAATACACTTTTGTAGCCCTTGAAGTCTAGTTTTTACTATCCAAAAATCAGCTCAATCAGAGTTAGTATTAAAAATTTATGGCCAAAATAATAAGGTAATGTCAAATTCCTTCTTACCCAAATTCTTTTTAAAATTCGTTTTAACTCCAAAATACTTCATAACTTCTAGTACACCCCATGTTACCTCTTCCAAGGTTTCTCGACGTTCCAGATTCAATGAAAATCTTATTTTGACGCAAAAATATTTAAAAAACTTACCTAACCACCCTTCTCAAGCTTAAACACCTTCGCAACTTTAAACTTCACAATCAATTTGTCTCCCGAGTATTTGTTGATTCTGTTATAATCTATATGGTTCATTCTTACGTTATTACATATATAAGAATTATTAAATAATTACATCAGTATATTAATATAAAAAAGTGGGGGTTTACAAATTCCTAATTCAAAGGGGTTTGTAGCGATATTTTCGTCTTTTCCTTGCAATGTCTTGCTTGATTCTAGGCAATGGTTGTGCGATTAAGGATCTTTTGCCTAAACTGGTGCTTCCTGCTATAGAGGAGGCGCGCTGTGGTTTCTAGATGTCTTCTATGCGTTTTCTTTTGGGTGCAGGTCGAGGGGTTCCCAGACCTAGTTTGTTGAACTCAGGATCTCCTGGTTGAGCTCCCTTCCTGACCTCCACTCCCGAGCTTAAACTTGAAATTTCTTCTAGGTACCATCAGTTGCCCCCAGTCCCTAGTTGAAGTGGGTTTAAGCAGGGGCTGAGCTAAGGCTGAGTCGAGACAGACCTCCAGGCGACGACCTTGGGTTACATGCGAAGAGGTTTTTCTAACGGTTTTGTATGATCATTTTTTCCTCGTTTTTTGTGCACATTACACACTTCAAAGACCCACATACCACAAGCTTTAAATATCCCTGAGAAGGTGGAAAATGCCTCACTTTTCCTTCTGATTCCTCTCTCTAGGCTTTTTTCTCTCTCTTCCTTGCGATCTTAGCCTCCCTAATCTATTGGTGATCTTTAAGACTTTGCCGAAAATCGACCTTCTTTGACTCGATTCGACGGTTTCACGAGGCTCACTTTCCACTTTTCTCTTTGGGCTGTGATTCGTCACTCGTTTTTGATTAGGTAAGCATCTTGACTTTTGTTTCTTCGTTTTGGATTCCTCTAATCTGAGGTAGTTACTCCATTTTTGGAATTTTCATTTTTGTTATTTTAGAAATCAAGGTCGCTTCTTGTCTTACCTCCCCCTTTTTCTAGATCCTTACTCCACTGTCAGGGTCTTGCTCGATGGTCGCTGTTGTCTCGTCCCCTGGACTCTTAAAAAGTGTTTTGCTGACATTCCTCCTCTTTACCGTTCCTTCAAACTTCCTGTCATTCTGCCTCTTCTGAAGCTACAGGTTCATCGATTTCCCTCATGGGAGACAAGTCTCTTGAGGTAGAGGATGATGAGCTGGGAGAGGTTGGTGATGAAATAGACAATTCTCTTGGGGTTGAGGCTGTTAAGATGGTTGAGGTCCCTCAAGTTTCTCTAGAGTCTTCTTCTAACCCCAAATGGTCTTGAAAAGGGAAGGCCAAAAATGGTGTCAAGTAGTGTTGAGGACTTTAGCCCTACTCCTTGCGCCTCTGACCTCATTGGTCATAGCGAAAGTCACTCATTCTCTTATGAAAGTTCTATCTACTAGATTTGGTTTCCCTGAGGGCATGCGTTACTAGATTCCCTCTATAGACATTAGGTAAGATGCAAAGGTCGCATAGAAGACCTGTTTCTTCGTGGCCTCTCTTGAGAATGGGCTAAGGTTCCATATTCACCCCTTCATCAAGTCCATCCTCCAACATTTTAATGTCTGTCCTACTCAAATCTCTCCCAACTTCTGGGGGGTCTTGGTGGGCCTCCTTGTCTTCTTTAACAAAAAAAAATTCGATTCCCCCACAGTTCCTCTACTAATGAAGTTCTTCAATGTCAAGTTTCAGCCTGATGGTTTTTTATACATTTTCAAGTAGGTAAATAC